AGGACCTCGTGCACGCCAAGCATGCGCTCTGCCACTGAGCTATACCCTTCCCCCTATAGTGTTAGTTTCATGTGTACAGCACAGTGATTCAGTTATACTGAACACATTTTTTTAGATTCTTTTTTATTACAGCTCATTACAAGAAATTGAACATAGTTCACTGTGTTGTACAGTAGGTTCTTGTTGTTTATCTATTGTATATATTTTATATATAGTAATGTGTATCTATTACAGAAGTGAAAATTTTTTAATTGAAGTATAGTTGATTTAAAATATGCTAGTTTCAGGTGTATAGCAAAGTTACACAGTTACACATATATATGTATGTATCTAAATTGTTTTTTCTTATTCTTTTCGATTGTAGGTTATAGCAAGATTTTGAATCTAGTTCCCTGTGCATTACAGTAGGACCTAGTTGCTTATCTATTTTATATGCAGTAGTGTGTATCTGTTAATCCCATACTCCTAACTTACCCCCCCCTTCCCCTTTGGTAACCGTAAGTTTGTTTTCTATGTCTGTGAGTCTGTTTCTGTTTTATAAATAAGTTCATTTGTGTCATTTTTAAGATTCCACATATAAGTGATATCACATATTTGTCTTTGTCTGATTTACTTCACTTCATATGACAATCTCCAGGTCCATCTATGGTGCTGTAAATGGCATTATTTCATTCCCTTTTATGGCTGAGTAGTGTTCCATCGTATACATACACCACAGCTTCTTTATCCAGTCATCTGTCGATGGACATTTAGGTTGCTTCCATGTTTTTGTTGCTAATGCATAGCCTCTGTTCCCTGCTTATTGAACTGAGACTCGAGGACAGGGTTTTGGATGAAGTAGAAAAGGCAGCTTTATTTCTTTGCAGACAAAGGAGGTAACAGTGGGCTAATGCCCCTAAGGCTGTGAGCCTGCTGGGACGAGAAAGTAGGGAGTTTTATAGTAAAAGTCCAGAAGTTCAGGGGAGAGCTGTTTCCATAGAGATCACAATGCCGGGTAACAGTTGTTGCAAAGCTGTTCTTGTTTTTGCAGATGCAGGTCCCCCAGGTTTTTGCAGAAAGGTGTCCCCTTCCCTCTGCTGGGTATGAAGTTCATCTCTGGCTTTTGGACTCTTTTAATAGTCTTGTGCCTGGAACAAAGAGCGCTTAGGAAGGGGTCTGTAGAAAAGTACTCTAGAGAAAAACTTGTGCAGTTTAAAGTTGGGTGGATAAATGCCTCCAGCATTTTAGGCAGGCTGAGGCCTGGGACCTCTTGCTGCAGCCTGAGACCTGCACCTGGAACAACAGAATACAAAGAAACTATAAGGGGCTAAAAATAACAGCAGATGAGCAGTTGGGCAAGTTATGAACAAGATGCACAAAACACCCAACTGCTGTTTCTGAGGTGCCTTGGGCAAGAGGAGGGCACTGGGTTCAAGAGCAGGGCACTGAGGGCAAGAGCAGGGCACTGAGAATGTTCCCTGCACACAGCACCATGAGGGGGTTGGGCAGGCCACCCAAGCCGCCTTCTTTCCAGCAAGAGCATGAGGAAAAACAAAAACCTTTAAACTATTATTCACTTCAGCAGTTACAAACACCATTACAAATATTAGATGATCACAGATAACAGTAGGGTCCTGCTTGGTTACATCTTGGCAGTTGGAAATAGTTCTGCTATGAACACTGGGGTGAATGTATCTTTTTTAATTAGAGCTTTCCTCTTATCTGGAACTATGACCAGGAGTAGGACTGCTGGATCATATAGTACGTCTATTTTTAGTTTTTAAGGAACCTCCATACTGTCCCCCATAGTGGCTGCACCAATTTACATTCCCACCAACAGTGTAGGAGAATTCTCTTTTCTCCACACCCTCTTCAGCATTTATTATTTGTAGACTTTGATGATGGCCATTCTGATCAGTGTGAGGTAATACCTCATTGTAGCTTTGATTTGCGTTTCTCTGATAATTAGTGATATTGAGCATATTTTTATGTGCCTGTTGGACATCTGTATGTCTTCTTTGGAGAAATGTCTGTTTAGGTCTTCTGCCCATTTTTTTTTTGGATTGTTTTTTGTTATTGAGTTGTATGAGCTGTTTGTGTATTTTGGAAATTAAGTCCTTGTCAGTCTCATCATTTGCAAGTATTTTCCCTCAGTCCATAGGTTGTCTTCTCATTTTGTTTATGGTTTCCTTTGCTGTGCAAAAGCTTGTAACTTTAATGAGGTCCTTCTTGGTTTTTTGGCTTCTATTTCTTTTGCCTTGGGAGAAAACATTGCTATGATCAGAGAATATATCTAATTTTGCCCCCTGTGCAGAACTGAATTTTTAATTTAAAAAAATTAAGTAATTTAAGTGGAAATAGAAAAATCTGATACTGCATTCAGCTATTGGAAGAACTTAAAGTATGCTTGGAGCACCAGGGGTAGGTGAATCTACTCTTTCAACTGTGCATTTTATACAATATACAGAGCAAGTATTTCCAATGAATATTAGCGCCCAAACTGAGATGGGCTGTGACTGTACAATACCCACTGGAGTTTAAGACTTAGTGTGTGTGCAGTAACATAAAAGGTCACATTGACAATTGTTGATTTTGATCGCACGTTGAAATGTAAATATTTTGGCATACCAAGTTAATAAAATTTATTATTCAAATCAGTTACACTGATTTCTTCATACTTTTTTATACGGCTACTAGAAAATTTCACTTATGTGGCTCATGGTATGTTTCCATTGGATGCTGCTGTTCGAGAGCCTGTAGTGGGTACAGAGTACACTGAAATCAGATAAATGTGTGTTTTTGTAATACATGTAATTTCATACCAGATAAGTGAATCCATAGAAATCATGTACTCTGTGTTCCTTTCTTTCAAATCTTTGCTCAGATGTCATCTTTGCAGTAAGACTCTCCTTGATCATTGTATTTTTTGTTTACTTGTTTTAGGGGGTAGGTAATTAGATCTATTTATCATTATTATTTATTTAATGGAGGTACTGGGGATTGAACCCATGACCTCATGCATGCTAAGCATGCACTCTACCACTGAACTATACCCTCCCACCTGATCACTGTATTTGAGACTGTAGCCCTCACTCTCCTTGTTTTGGTGTTCTCCATAATTCAGATCCAAGCAGACAGAATATTTTTTCATTGAGATATAATTCACATACTGTAATTCCATGGTTTTGAGTATATTCAAATTTGTGCAACCATCATCACATCCATTTTAGAACACTCCATTCCTCCAGGAAGAAAGTCCCTAGCAGTCCTTCCTTCTTCCCAGCCCCTGGCAAACACTCATCTACTTTCTGTCTCTCTGGACGTGCCTGTTCTGGACATTTCATATCAATGGAATCACACACTATGTAGCCTTTTGTGTGTGGCTTTCAAGGTTCATTCACATTGCAACAGGTATCAGCACTTCATTTCTTTTTAATGCCAGACAACATGCCATTATATGTATATACTACATTTTGTTTATTCATTCATCCATTGATGGACATTTGGATTGTTTGCACTTTTTGGCTATTATGGATAATGCTGCTATGAACATTCACATACAAATTTCTATGTGGACACATGTGTTGACCCAAAACAATAAAACAGCCAGTTATTTTATCAGCAAAAATACAGTTACTCCAAAACAGCAAAGAATTGCAATTTGGGACAACCTATGGTGAGCCACAAACAAGTCTGGAGAACAGAGGGGAGGAGACTCTTCAATAGAGGAGAAAGGGGAGTTGAGAGGGGCTGTTATAAACAAAGAGTCTTTTGGAGGTGACTGGGGGTTCAAGGTGTAGTGGTTTTTCACTGGCTCCATGGTGACAGTCTCTCATTGGCTGGGTTGTTGCCAGGCAAGGAGAAAGTCTTCCTTCCCTTGTTGTGTAATAAAGTAGTGACCTTCTTCCTGTTACAGATGCAGTTATGTTTCTTCCTGTTGAGTCTTCAACTGACTCAGTTGGGTAGGGCTTGGAGCTCCCCATTTTGGCTCCCTGACTCCATTTTAAATGAGGTTTCTGTTTATTAATTTACACGTAGGTCTTCAATTCTAGGAGTGGAATTGCTAGGTCATCTGGTAACTTTATGGGAACTGCCAGACTGTTTTCCACAGTGGCTTCTCCATTTTACAATCCCATGGGTAATATATAAGGGTTCCAGTTGCTCCACACCTTCTCAAGCAATTGTTATTTTCCTGGGGGTGAGGTGTTTAATTTTTATGATTATATTTGAAATCATAGCCATCTCACTAGGCTGCAGTCTGTGGTTTTGATTTGCATTTCTCCAGGGACTAAGGATGGTGAGACAGCATCCTTTCCTGAGTTTAGTGGCCATTCATTTATTTACTTTGGAGAAATGTTCACTTGGATCCCTTACCATTTTTTGAGCAAGGATTTTTATCTGTCTCGTTCCCTACTTGGAGGTTCTGAAGGAGCACTCAGGAGGAGTGCAATGTGTTTGTTGAATGACTGAATGAATGAATGAATTTCGGCAGGCCGTGGGTTTTGCACGACCCGCACAAGCACTTGTTGTGCGGCCCACCTGCGCTAATCACGCGGTGTGGCTGCGTTACTGCTGTGAGTCCGCCCAGGGGTACCTGTTTCTTCTACTGCCCCTTTCTAAGAACCTCGCCCTAAACTGAGAGGAGCCACTTCCCCATATTCCCGCGGAGCCGGATCCGCCAATCGGGTTCTGGCACGGTTGCCCCGGGTAACCCGTGGCGCCGCGCTTCCTGTATTGATTCGAATCGCTGGCTACGTCACGTCCTCCCGAGATGCCCGAGGCGCGCAGGCGCAGCCGCGTGGGTGGG